TCCTTCTTCAGGTCAAGGAAAACTGCGATTGTTGGCCGACGATGGGTGTGGCGCAATTTGAGGACTTTTCGCAGGGGGGAAATTCGGTCGATGTAACCAAGACCTGGTCGGAATCCGGCTTGGTGATGGCGGATATTCATCTCTCTTAAGGGTGTCAGGCGACGAAGTATCACAGAAGTCAACACTTTTGTGGTTATCAGTGGTTAGCGCAGTTGTTGCGTGATCCCTGCTTCAAGATCGGGACGATCAACGCTTCACCTCAGGACAACGGGATACGTTCTTCCGACCAAATGATGCGAAGTGCGCTATTAATCCAGTCGACGAGTGAGTCACCACCCAGCTTGAAAAGAATGGGGGGAAACCTATCAGGTTCCGCTACCTTCGCTTTCTTTCATGATTGAATACGGCTTTGTAGTTCTACTTCTGCTGGAGTCTCATAAGTTACCAACCATGGGCTTTGCACTGCAATCACCGGAATAATCGCATTAGCACTAGGCCAACTGAACTGTTCATCAAAATACTCTTCCAAGCGATCAAGTCGTTGTTCTTTATTAGGGATACTCTATCAACCTTTATCGCAGAAGATCTTACTAACCGGTATGCGACGACCTCCAGTGTTGTGCATCAAGTGAAAAAGTCTTTGACTATTCCCTGATGCAGAAGATACCTGCAAGTCACTATTTTGGTCAACCAGTTTTCGCGTTCTTCCATGAGTTGACGTTTCAGGCGCTACCGGTCTCTTTGAGCATTTGTTCCATCAGGATTACTGACTCCTGAGAAATCCAATCTCTTCAGCAAATTTCGGACAGATGCATCGCGCAGACGATGATGATCTAACTAAGGATGCGATTTACGCTGACCGATGAGGCGAAGCATCGGAGCTAGTGCGTGATCCGACTCAACGCAGATGGTCCAATAGGATCTGCAATTTCGCACTGAACCGCGTCAACGGTGGCTTGCAGTTACGTGGTCCACTTGGATCAACCTTCCCCTTCAATTAGAGCACCATGCGGCCAAAAGTTGGTGCTAGATAAGAACAACCGGTGATCCGCGCAGAACTGAAGAAGTCGTTCACCGTTGTCTGTTTATTGGGCAGGAAGAGCGAAGTACCCTCCTAAACACGCCTCGGATGCGCTCAGTTTTCCAACCTGCGAATTAAAATCACCTGTTAACACTGCAATATCAGAGATACGGCTCAATCGAGTGAATGCGGCGAGTTTGTTGTAAAATTCGTCCTGTTGTGCACTGGGACTGCAGTTGGTTGGTGCAAATGCGGAAATGATAAACAAACACCTTTTGTTGTTGCTCTTCTTCCGAACATTAACCGAACCATGGAGTCTCATTGCACAAAAAGACGACTGTTGATGGGTATGCAATCTATCAGTGAGGCTTCAGCTTTATCGTTTAGTACGATTCCTACACCTCACTGACCCAAAGAGTGGGCTTCATCGTCACCTGATGTACGAAGAAAATACCTTGAGGACAGACCCAGCGCACTCAATTGCCTTATAATGCTAGGATTCTGAATTCGTGTCTCCGATAAGCAACAGACATCAATTCCTAAAGAACTTATTGTGCGCGCAAGACAAGCTTGATGACCCATCTGCATTACAGTCCTCGTGTTGAAGACCCCTAGATCGAGAGGCTGACGGAGATTCGAAATGTGCATTGGAGAGCAGAGCTGCCTGCTACCGAGCACGTCCCCAGGTCGTGGATAGGGGAACGGCCACCATTTCGCAGCTAACCATGAGTGGGCTCACGTCCCACGAATAAGCGGTTTCGGACGATCAGAGGCAGTACTCGAGGATGTAGTTTTACCTCCTGGCAAGGGCTCTCCGCACAAGACGCCACACATCTGTGGACAGCGCAATGACGTGGCGAGTGTGGCCCGCCATTAAATATGGTCATTGCTTCTTGTTTGACAAGGTTTCCCGGAAGTGGTAAATGAACGAAATACTGGTCACCGGCTTCTCTGGAACATCGCTGCTGCCATGCAGTCCGCGCTTGGTTGCACAAAGGCTCGCGTGCACCCTCGAACAGGACCTACTCTGGACAGTGAGACCGAGTAGTACAACCCACAACGATGAATTTCTCGAATCTTACGTTTCTTCAGTGTACAGTCTCTGCATTCAGCGATGAACACTCTACACTGCACACACCGTCATTTATCCCTAGCGCTTTCCCCATCTCACCTTCACCCCGCTAACACAACCCCACTCTTGGGTCCTTCAGACGACACTACTTACAGTAGCGCTCCAGATGAGAAGTTTATCGCTGCTATCTCAGGTCCTACCTCGACTACTGTTCAAGTCTCACCGAATTATCCATCAGTTGAAGCTCTTCCTCGTCTTCGATGCCTATTCAAACTAGCCACATTCAATATGCGCACTCTGATGCGTACAGGACAAAAGGTTTGTTTAGCTCGCACGCTCGAGACACTAGGCATCGATGTGTTGTATCCAAGAAACATTCAAGAGTCTAGCTCCATTTTTTCATAGACGTCCACACCAATCCCATCTGCGGAGTTTCGCTAACGCCTGGGGACCTTGAGGCTGCGACTTCGGGTATTGCCGGCGTTGGCGTGTCTCCCACTCGACAGTAAGCTTTACGCAGTGAGACTTAGAGGATTATACAAAGTAAATAGATGTCGCCCCAATAGGTGAAACTTGTTTGTCGTTTCGGCGTACGCCCCAACGGATAGTAGCCAAGGTGCAGTCAAAGATGAATTTTACCATAATCTACACGACCTCTTGCGTAAAGCAAGTCGAGCTGACATCGTGATTTTAGCAGGAGATATGAATGCTAGAGTAGGCCGGTTGACTTCGAGTGAGGCACACCAGAGAGGCTCTTTCGGACTAGATCCTTGTCGCTCGGAAAACGGGGAGCGGCTGTTGGCTTTGTGTTCCGACCACCGCCTATTCCTCGCTGGTACGAACTTCAGACGCTCCAACTGCCGGTACACCACTTGGCGCCCGCCCTCCTCGAGTCAGAGACGGACGCAGATCGACCACATCGCGATAAGCCGCAAATGGCAGGGCAGCATTCAAGCCCACCCGATGACGTTAACCAGCACTGGTCGCTCATCAAGAATGTTCTGCATTCTGCTGGCTTAGTCAGTTGTGGTCTGACACATCACACTGTGACACCCTGGATCTCTGCAGAGTCTCTACGCCTTCTTGACGCACGTCGGTCTATTTTGACCGGCAGTGAGCATAATGAAACACGACTCGTAACGAGACGTGAACTTAATGCAAGCCTACGCAAAGACCGCAAGATCTGGTGGACTAAACGCGCGTCAGGGATGGAACATGCTGCCGCCATGGGAAATTCCCGTAAGCTGTTCCATTTCATCCGGGTCACCGATAGGAAAGCCTTAGGTGTGAGCGAAACGATCTGCGAAGCTGACGGTTCGCCCATTCACAATCAGCAGCGACGTCTTGCACGCTGGGTGGAACACAGTTTAGTTGACCAACAGAGTTGGCTTCTCACGCAGCTATTCCGGCACACGTCCCATGGCGTCTCAACAGACCCAACTTCTGAGGCAGAAATCCGTAAGGAGATCCAAACCTCAGGAAGCGCCGGACTCCGGTGGCCGTTCCCCAGCTCTATGTAAAGATCGTGGAATAAAGCTTGTTAGAGAACTACAGATTCTGTTCTCCAAAGTTCGGAAAATTGAGCAAATCCTCCTCTCTTGAAGGGAGATTTGTTGTTGNNNNGCCCACGCAGTGACTGCGACAATAAGCTTGATTTCGATAGCGTCAAAGCTGTTGGCGTCCGTCATTCTTCGCCGAATATACCAGACGCATAAAGCACAGACCCGTGAGGAGCAGGCTAGATTTCACACTAGCCGTGGAAACATCGATCAAATCTTCACCCTCCGACAGCTGCTAGAGCACCGTCTATGGCGAGCTTTTACCACCCTTCCACGTCTCCAGCGGAGTTCGACAAGGTCGCCTTATATCCCTATTCCTTTTCAACTTCGACCTAGAGGATGTTCTACAGAATGCTTTTTCTATTCTAGCACATGGTGGAGTTGACCTCCTCTCAAGGAACAAAGTCCTTGACCTGGAATATACCGATGACATCGCCTTCCTGGGTGACAACACACAGGCGGTTCAAGTCGCTTTGAGCCGCTTGGCTATCGAGGTATGCTATGTGCTATGTGCCGTTCAAATGCAAAGTGCTTGTACAACTGGAAGTGGTTGAGAGCTTTAAGCACCTCGAGAGCTTGATCTCAGCTGATGGCGGTGTTGGGGATGAGATCACATCACGAATAGTGAAAGCTAGAGCAGTTTTCGCCAACCTGCGACACCTTTGGCGCCGCCATGACATCCGACTGTCCCTTGATGGTAGAATGTACATCACCGCGCTTCGTAGCGTTCTACTTTACCGTTGTATTACCAGGCCCCTGCGGCTTGAGGATGCTCATCGTTTTTGTGTATTCAATCACCGATGTCTCCGAAGCATCGCTCGTGTCTAGTGGTAACATCGGGTGAGCGATGAGGGGATTCACCATTGTGTGCTGGATGTAGATAATCGCTCGCAAGCAGAAGTAATCGCTATACACCGCCTCTGATGGTTTGGTCACGTATTGCGTATGTTTGCCCATCGGCTACATTTCCGTGCTCTCTTTGCACATGCCGCGCAAGGTTGGGGTCCAAGGGATGAGCTCTGTCGTTGGTTAGGGACGCCAAGAGATATGGCTCAGAGTAAAGTCAGTGGTGCGAGTGCTGTACGATCTGCCTGTCGAAATCCCGTGACCCATAAAAAACGACAAACACACAAAAATGTTGGAAAGTTTAGGGTGAAACGAAAAAAAATGTTATTCTTGTCATTCAATTTAACTATCTGACCCCTTTTTACTCTGCTATGTACCCCAAATTCACGTGTTATTCTTGTCGTTGCGTTGACACTCAGCTTCATCGAAAGCCGGTGATAAATATATAATTTATTTATAGGTAAACTATTTACAGTGCTATTTGGCAGCGACCTTTGGCGAGTAAGGAACATGCTGGCTGGTAGGATGTTACGGACCGAAAGTAGGGGTAAAAGGAGAGGGTTAGGTATAGCAGACAAAGAGTTAAACAACAGTTGAGACATGCCATCACCAGCTGCGGGGCAACTCACAATGACGAATTATGTTGTGCCCTAAAGTCTTAGAAACCCAATTGGAAAATCCTCTTCCCCAATGAAGTTCTCTATTTTCGATACGACTCTACTTTCAATTTTCCTATCTTTCTCCTACTGCTTCATCCAAATGGCCAGTCGAAATACAGCAACCAAAACCGATGCACGAAAGTGTATGATTATTAGCTGTGCAAGCTGGATCCTGAAACCGGTGGTACCTGTTCGTGTCTGATCGATTTCTTCCGTCACAAAAGGCTTTCAACCACCCCTTTACCTTTATTCCCCAAAAGGAAGTGGGTAAACTTCTGTTTTGGTTTCAAAGCGCAGTTGGAGATCACTGAACGATTTTGTACAACAAATTTACGTAGGACCAAACTGAGATATTATGAAATCTATCAACTAATTGATAAAGCACCTAACTGTCACTTTTTGTGATAATACTTTACTTCCTTTCTGTATGTATTGAATATTCCATTGTAAATATAATTTCTAGGAGTCGGACTGAGAACTGTCTGAGGGAATAAACAAGATTTTATCCAAATGTGAGTCGTTGACTTTGTGTTGAAACGACACTATTCCGTGACCGACTAACCGCAATAGCACTTCGACTGGTTTGTAGACCTTCGCCTATCATCATCCGCTCTTCAGACAGAACCAGCAAGGTGATAAAAAGATTTTATCAACATCATGAGACTGCACCTTCACGCGGTGTGATGGCTTGCGTGCCTCCATGATCCTGCGAGCTACACAGGATGGCTTTTCACACCCGTAGATCCAATCATACCCGGAAGGTCAACAGGTGGAGGTCAGACAAAGCTCAGTTTCACAAGGCCGGCTGTTTGGGCACATCCTGGCTTCCCTTTCTACTCACACCCGCCCCTAGAAAGGCCACTCTAGCAAAAAAACACGGTGACGGGCAGTTTACCGGTCAAAAAAACCAGCTAGATGGAGGTAGGAGCGGGGTACCTGGACTTTCCTTCGACGGTGGGAGAAGTCTTCGCACTTCATTGGACAGCTACTTCCAGCCCAAGCTGGGCAGTCCCCAGCCAATAAGGTGCCGTCTCGTCCGCGATCGGTTTGTCTCACTGGGTGCGTGAGACTAATGGCCGATACCGAAAAGCGGACCGCTAATCAACGCACCAGTGAACAACACAATTAATCGAAATTCAAAGGCCTTGCGTGACAGGTATCTAGAAGCTCCCACACGGGTGCATAGTTCACGCTCCCGCGTTGGGTTTACGCCCCACTTCCTTGTGGATTAGACTCTTGAGTCAAAGGCTTCGGTTAGGGTTCCAAAAGAAAAACCCCTTCGTCGGTGTGGGCAACCGCCAAGTAGGCAGTGCCCTAAAGTTTTAGGCACCCATTTGGAAAAACCTCTTTCCGATCTATCTAGTTCCTTCTGTCAATCCCGAATAATCCCAGACGCCTGTTTACGCCACCCATCGAATATCATTCAGCGTTTTACCAACAAGCTCACACAACCAGAAGCAACGGGATTCTTGGAGACAAAATTTCCTTTTCACTTAGCCGCGTTCAATGTCCGCACACTCCATCAGATTGGTCACCAAGCTGCCTCGGCGAGAACCCTTGAAACTTTCAATTTAAATGCATGCTGTGTATCCGAAATACGCATTCAAGACTCTACTTCAATCGTTTCCATGCGTTCTCCTAACCCAACCTCGACCTCACGCTTCACCGATTCGGTATACGAAGCTCGCGGTGTTGCTCGTGTTGGGATTGCGCTGAGTCCCAAGACTGAGCGCTCGCT